TTGAATTTCTTTTCACAAACCAGTTTCAGTTTAGTTCCAAAAGTGTAGTTCCAAACAGTAATGGGCCCAGTATCGAGCCTTGAGGCACACCAATTATGCAAACTGCACACTGAAATGATCGATATTGTTTTGCACAAAATACACTGAGAAACATGTCTGACCATTTGACCACATTGTGAGCGAGGTCTCCTCCTTCACAAATCTATTATAATTATAATTTCAGGCAAACAAACAGTTCTGCATGGACATGAGAAAATGCTGAACTCTCTACCGGAAAAAAGTCGGGTCGCACCTTCTTAACCCTGGGGAGAGACAAACCGCAGCGTAAATCGAGCAATTTCTCTTGTAGTGCGTCGATCTTTAGATGTAGAGATAAAAATATACGTGCGTGAGTGTGTTGGTTTGCGCGTATAATGACACAACTACGAACCAAAATGCCTCCTCCTCTGATGCTCTAAAACAGGGGTGTCCAAACTGTTTTCATCAAGGGCCACATATCTAAACACAGATGAAGCAGAGGCCGATCGAGGGCCGTAGACTGGGGCTCAATACAGGGAAATAAATGAAATATTGCATGTTTAACACGTTTGAATGAGCCATCAGTTTTTATTCCTGCTAAGATCCTTAAGCCAAACTAAATATTAATTAGCTTTATCAATAGATTTTCAAAAAAAACTGCAGTAAAAAAATTTTTTGAAATGATACTAAGGAATTTGGGCCAATTTCTCTGGAGCTTGAGGCCAAGAAAAATGTGTCTGAGGGCCGCATTTGGCCCCCGGGCCATAGTTTGGACATGCCTGCTCTAAACTTTCACAGAAAACACAGTGAAGAGAAGTGTATTTTGAGAGTGGGTGGGGATTAAAAGTGTGACTATATCAGCACCGCTCGGGTGTTCAGAGGTGCTACCCACCTGATTTTGAACAGAAGTCGGGACCATGAGACGGAGGCACTTTATTAGTGTTTCTTGATAAGTCTCCTGTTTGTTGCATCTGTTTATTAAACATATTAAATGTGTGTATTTACTGAAAGTGCATTTGCTCTTGTGTTGAACAGTGCTGTGTGGTGGAAGAGGATTCACCAGCGCAGAGACTTTTGTTTACAAAGCAGTGGAAGGAAAGACTTTAGGGAAAAGTTTGTGTTTTATAAATCTGGAATACAAAAGTACTTCTGTAAAAATGACTGTGTGAAAAAGAAAACTTTTGTTCATACTCCACCAGAGCAGAAGGGAGATACAGCCGATTTGACAATATTCAAATCCTTATATCCTGCATGTTGGAATAAATAATCTGAGCATCTCTGACTCTGGATCATACAGATGTGAAATATGGTCTGGAGCAGTGATGATGGACTCAGACAAATTTCATCTTGAAGTCTCCAGAGGTAATCACCATCATTATTATCATTCCGTCTGTTTCTGCTGCTCTTCTTTTTGTTTTTATGTATTATCAAGTTTATTTAGAAAAAACCTTTGGGCGCATTAACCTTTTCTGTTTTAAAGCTGAGAAAACAAATAAACTCACTGCGTTTGTCAGAAGTCACAAAGACTCACTCTCTGTTGTCACACTGAGACGAGTGAATCTTTTTAAATATTAAAAACAGTTTCTAACTCCAAACACCTCAGTGAAAGTGATGTGAGTCCTGACTTGTTTATTTAATGAGTCTGGTGGGGATAAGTTTTTGTTTTATGCATCTGAAACGTATCAGTTCTTCTGTAAAAATGACAGAGAAAAAATAGAAAACATTTTGGTTGAGACTCACACAGATTGTGGTTCAGATCAGTGTTTGTGGACTCAGGAGAATTTCAGATTGAGGTAAATATCACCATCACGAGTATCATCCGTCTCTTTCTTCTGTCATTTATTGTTCCATGTAGACGTTTCCTCGAGTCCCGGTCGTCTGCTGTGGCTCCTGTTGATCCCTGTCGCCGTGGTGATGACCTCAGTGCCGCTGTTACTGATCTGCAGGAAGAAGAAAACACAAAACGGTGAGTCCGGTGAAGGGGCTTTGTGGCAGAGTGGTTAGCCCTGTGTCTTTCATTCACAGTATATGAGGCACAATGTGGCACCAAAATGTCTTAATGTAAAACCTCCACAAGAGACAGAGACCTGCTGTAACTTAACTCGTCTATTCTTCCATCATGATTGACAGCCAAGATTTTTTTTTTGTTTTTTTTTGGCAAAGAAACCAAATGAATAAGTGTTTTCCACCATTACCGAAACAAACCATCAACTACAAATGCAATTTGCAATTACAGACAGAATATGCCAGAAAAAATACGTTTAATTTAGAATTAAAGTTTCCCTTTGCCAGTTTGACAGTAACATATGACGGACAGTGGAACAGGCGGGATATTTGCTGACACTCGACATGTTGCTGTTTCAAAGTGTCTTTTCAATGGACGATTTTTTAAGTGCTCTGTCTCCTCGCACTAAGGCCGACACATGACGACAGGAGAATTTGCCTGATTTTGGCTGCGATTTGCTTCTCCCAGGGACCGGACTTTGTGACTTTTTGGGTGATTTTGGTCTGCAGACAGATCCTGCTGCAGTCTTTGCGATCGCAGATTTAAAATCTCATCAGATTCTCCTCGTGTCTGTGGTTTGAGCTTTTTGTCGCACGTTTAAAAATCGTTTAAGACTGAAAAATCCTGTAGTGTGTGGAGGTCTTTTAGAAAGTCTCTATGAATATTCTCATTGAACCTACACGATTCATGTAGGTTCATCTGTTTTGGCTTCAAAACGGCGAATTTTGCCAAAAAGTGAGAGATTTTATGTTTGGTCTTTCTGTGAGATGTTGGTCCATGTCCTCTGTGTCACTGTGGTGGAATCTCTAAAGACGTGTCTCCATTTTGTGTTCAACAGATCAGGAACCGAGACGCTCCAGAACAGAGGTGAGCTCTACACACATTTCTACTTTTGAGTGTAAATACTGACTTTTATTTCTTAAATTTCAGACTGAACCGTACGAGAACATGAAAGCAGTGAAGGAATCTGCAGACTGCACTTACCAGAGCCTCTGTGTGGACACCATGGACCCAAACCAAGTCTACACACCGTCTGACTGTGGACTCAGCACACACTGCCCCCTGGTGGACGAGACACACAACAGCAGTGAGAGAAAGAATAGTCACAAGTGTCTCATTTTTTCTCATCAACAATTTCACACTTCAGCTCAAAAAAACATCAGAATCATATAATCACACTTTTATGTGACCTTGAAGATGATGTGTTATGTTTTATAATCCGTGTGTCATTCGTTCATTCATTTTTCAAAATAAAACCAAAAATAAGAAAACGAAAAAACAACTATTTTCTTCTATTTTCTGAACGAGGACTAAACCAGGACTAAACCAGGTTTAAACCAGGACTAAACCAGGACTGAACCAGGTCTAAACCAGGACTAAACCAGAATAAAAATAACAAAATAATAATAACAATAGTACTTTTTTGTTGTTATTTTCACTTCTATTATGATTTCTCTTATCTTATATGTTCCATTGTATATGAAAATCTTTACTTGCCCAAAATAAATGCATAAATAAAAATGCATTGTCCCTTTGACCTCGAGTCAGAGCTACAGGTCAAAATTACTCTATGTTTTGTCACTATGGCAGAGTCGAACTAACACAAAACAATTATGAATAAAACTGAAAAAGAAAAGGATTTCACAGTAAAAGTCTCCAAAGTTTGAGACACACACACACTCACACACACACACTCACATGCACACACACACACATGTGCACGCACACACACACTGCCAACGAAACTCTAACCATTTTATTCACACACATAAAGTCACTTCCACAAAATGTAGACAGTATTCTGTCCATGTACCAAACATGAACACACACAAAAGAAAGATTTTATCCATCTTATTTCTATGCATGCGCACATGCACACACGCGCGCACACACACTCATACACACATGCACACGCACACACACACACTCATACACACACACATGCACACACACGCACTCACACACACATGCACACACACACACTCACATGTACACACACATGCGCACACACACTCATACACACACACACACACACACGCACACACAGCACACACACATGCACACACACGCAACACACATGCACACCACACACCCTCACACACACATGCACACACATACACACGCACACACACATTCACACACACACACACACACATGCACACACGCACATGCACACACACACATGCACGCACACTCATGCACACACACACACACATGCACACACACATGCGCACACACACGCACACACATGCACACGCACGCACACACATGCACACACACACTCATACACACACACATGCACACACACGCACACACATGCACACACACACGCACACACACACACCCTCACACACACATGCACACACACACACCCTCACACACACATGCACACACATACACACGCACACACACATTCACACACACACACACACACACATGCACACACGCACATGCACACACACATGCACGCACACTCATGCACACACACACACACACATGCACACACACTCACGCGCACCCCCCCCCCCACCCCCACCACCCCCCCCCCCCACCCCACACACACACACACACACACACACACACACACACTGCCAACGAAACTCTAACCATTTTATTCACACACATAAAGTCACTTCCACAAAATGTAGACAGTATTCTGTCCATGTACCAAACATGAACACACACAAAAGAAAGATTTTATCCATCTTATTTCTACATTTCTACAGTAACACTTTCACTGCTCTCTGTTTGAACATAGATTTTCATCCACATCTTGGGATATTTTCTCTTGTGATGCAGTGAGGGAAGAAATGGCACAAATGTGTCAACCATCTCCAACACTGATCCCTGTGATGTCCTCACACGCAGCATCCACAGAACAGGGACCTCTGGTCTGGACCACATGTTCACACACTCTCCACCATATCAGACTGTTTGATGAAGAGGAAGCACACAAATAAAGTGCAAGGAGAAGTAAATCTTGAGCGAGGGTGAACATCAGATGTGAAACTTTATGTTTAAAAGGTGTTGTTGATACTTCCTGGTTTCAAACAGAACAAATGTGTTCAGTTTCAGTCAGGATGAGACCAGCTCCACGTTTACTTCTGCTGCTTGGTGAGTTTTCTCTTTTTATAAATACACAGCTGTTTATTATGACTCTCACTGGTGTTAAATGTGTCAGTGAAAGTTCATGAACTTTAGGTTTATTGTTCGTTTTCTGGTGAGGGTCTGTCACCTGCTCGTCTCCATGGAGATCTCCCTGCTTTGCCTTAATGTTCCACACTGTGGTACTGAGAACATGAGTTTGTGTTTGCTGTGTAGAAAAAGTGGTGAGGGACACAAAATAGTTTTGATGGTTTATACACACACACACATATATACACCACACACACACACAGCTCTGGTTCTCTGCCTCCTGCAACAACAGAGAGACTGAGTCTCAGTATCGATGGTTGAAAACAAGTGTATGTTTTATGTCAAATAAAATGATCAATACATGATCAGTGAACAGCTGTAGTAGTGAACTGTGACAACTTCACTAGAACAACAACAAATGCTCTGTTCGGCTCCATGAACTTTCTTTAACATCGTTTTAAGAATAACAAATACATTCTCATATTTCTTACATGTTTGTCCTTCAACTACAGCACAAAAACATGACCTCAGAAACGTATTCGTATTTATTTATCTGTAAAGGGACAGTTTGTATTAATGAACATTTAAAATGTAAAGAAGTAAAGATTATAGCCAAGATTTTCATCTACAGGACAGAGAAAAGTACAGCAACAATCACACAAAAATACACAACACCAGACAACTCACTACACACAACACACTCACTCACACACACACACACAAACACACTACTACACACACACACACTCACACAACACACACACACACTACACACACACAACACACTCACATACACACAACAACACCCACTGTACACAACACACTAACTGTACACTCACTATACACACACCACTATGCTAACAGTAATGGGCCCAGTATCGAGCCTTGAGGCACACCAATTATGCAAACTGCACACTGAAGTGATCGATCTTGTATTGCAGAAAATACACCGAGAAACATGTCTGACCATTTGAACACATTTTGAGCGAGGTCTCTCCTTCACAAATCTATTATAATTATAATTTTAGACAAACAAACAGTTCTGCATGGACATGAGAAAGTGCTGAACTCTCTACCAGAAAAATGACATAATGCTGCTTTAATTGTGACTCGTGTGTTGAACAGTGCTGTGTGGTGGAAGAGGATTCACCAGTGCAGAGACATTTTTTTTCACGCAGAGGAAGGAAAAGACTTTAGGGAAAAGTTTTTGTTTCATACATCTGCAACACCAAATGTACTTCTGTAAAAATGACTGTGAGAAAAGAGAAAACATTTTGGTTCAGACTTCTGGCACCAGAGAGCAGAATGGGAGATACAGCATTGGGTTTGAGCGATATTCAAATCCTTATGTCCTGCATGTTGGAATAAATAATCTGATGAGCTCCGACTCTGGATCATACAGATGTGAATTTTGGAACGGAACCGTGATGGAGGAAACAGTACAATTTCATCTTGAAGTCTCCAGAGGTAATCACGATCATTATTATCATTCCGTCTATTTCTGCTGCTCTTCAGTCTTTGTGTTTTATGTATTACTCAAGTTTTAGTTTAGAAAAACCTTTGGTCACATTAACCATCTGTCCGGGCACATTAACCTTTCATGTTTTAGAGCTCAAAAAACAAATAAACTCACTGCGTCTCCAGATGTGAGCACAGTTTACCAGCAAGTCACAAAGACTCCCTCTGTTGTCAACTGAGACGAGTGAATCTTTTTAAATACTTGAAAAAATTTCTAACTCCAAACACCTCAGTGAAAGTGATGTGAGTCTTGACTTGTTTATTTAATGAGTCTGGTGAGGATAAGTTTTTGTTTTATACATCTTGAATGTATCAGTTCTTCTGTAAAAATGACAGAGAAAATAGAAAACATTTTGGTTGAGACTCACACAGATTGTGGTTCAGATCAGTGTTTGTGGACTCAGGTAGAATTTCAGATTGAGGTAAATATCACCATCATGAGGATCATCCGTCTCTTTCCTCCGTCCTTTATTGTTGCTCATTCAACCTTTTTGAGTTTTCTAACATGAAGCAAATTTTTCCAGCTGAGCCACATGTTTCTAAAAGACCTTCTGTGACCTTCTCAGTAGAACATCATGTTACACCTGTCGCCTCCACACTGACTCCACCCGAGCTCCTCCCCTCAGGTTTGTCTAGAGTCCGTGGATCATTTGTTTTCCAAAATAAAACAAAAAAACAACTATTTTCT